TGCGTGCCCATCTGCCCCGCCTCCTTACACGTCGCTCACTTCTCTCGCGCACAGAACATGTTCCGCAAGTACTCCTACCTCGAGCACTACCCCGAAATCCAGGAGATCATGTCTGAGCGCCCCCGCTTCTTCCGCGACCACCTGGGTGCGTCGCGCTCGCGCCGCCTCGTCTGTTCTCCCCAACGCTGACCACGCACGCAGACCACTGCCTCGAGATGCTCCGCCAGAACCTGATGTGCCACGCCGACATTGCGCTCATCACCTACGACTGGGTCGCGGGCTTCCCCAAGCCCTTCCCCGACTTCAGCACGGTGCACCAGTGCCGCGACTTTGGAAAGATCCAGCAGTGGGAGCGCGAGAACCGCGTCCGCGTGTCGCTCGGGCGCATCCAGGCCGCGCGGGGTGAGGGCGAGCTCTCTGTTGCGGACGTCGATCTCAGCGGCGTGCTCACCATCGGTGGAATGAGCGGGGATGCACCCACTCGAACGGATTGAGCTGCGGTGTGCCTTCCCGTGCCCGATACAGTACAGTAGGACCAATGTCACTTGGCCTCGTGCTGTGTCCCGATGCGAACGCCGCGGACCAGGCCCTCGGAGAGTAAAGCGAATGAAAGGCTATTATATACTATGAGTTGCACGGGCCCCTGCTCCTTCGCTCAGAAAATATCAATAAATCATACAACTTCCATAAGGAATATTAAAGCTAGTCTGTCTATTCACAATTTCGAAGTTCACAATGGAGACGGAGAGAACCATCGCACAGTGGCCGGTTACACCTTATTCGGCCAATGCTTAGTCAAGATGAGCGCATGAGTCGCACAAGAACCAATCCATAATTAATTGCGCGCTGTTGTGAGCAGTTTCTGTTTAATTAATGTCACTTTCCGCTGGGGTTCAAATCCTCCGGTGCCACTTCGATATCATCACGCGTGAATACAGCTGACGCGAGCAAGGGCGGAAATTTGGCGAGATGCGTTCTATCCGAGCAGGCCCCTGCTGGCGCCGCCCGCGCACGATGCGCCGGCTTGAACTGGCCATGCGCGTTCCTCCGAGAGATGGCACGCGCGAGGTAAGTTGGCTCGCTGGTGACGCACGCCACGGCCGCCGGCAGTCGACAGCC